AAAAATGGCCACTAGTCGGCCATTTTGAATCTTATCTGAAAAACAAAATTATGTGCATTAAGGTCCTATAATGTCCAAAGTACAATGTATATACCGAATTTGAACAAAATCCATCTGTAAACAGCCGAGAAATGCTTGATTTTGATTATTTTTTATAACAAAAACCAATATATCTGTATATCTATGACATGATGTATAATGAATATTTAAAATTTGAACATAATAAGTCACAGCAAGTTAAAGATATGGCTCTAGAACCACATTTATTAAAACAAAATGGCCGCCAGTCGTCATTTTGAATCTTATCTGAAAACAAAATGATGTGCATCAAGGACAAACGTATATACCAAGTTTGAACAAAATCCAGAGAAATGCTTGATTTTGATAATTTTTAGAACAAAAATGGCCGCCATTCGGCCATCTTGAATCAGATCGTGAAACAAATTGATGTGTATATGTATAATATCATGTATGATGTATGTGTAAAGTTTGATTGTGATTGGTATAAGCATTTCTAAGATACAGGTTCGAACACACGCACGGAAGCATGGACACACAGACGCACAGAGGTCAAAACATAAGTCCCCGTTTTCGGACTGTGTCTGAACGGGACTAAAAATTAAATAATAATTTGGAACATGCAGTGAAAGCAATAATTTTCACTGGCATTAAATTTCACAATTTGGATATTTTAAGAATAACAGACATGAAGTTGCACTTTAAACAATTATTTAATGTTTAATTAAACCATAATTAGTGATAATATAACCAATATTATAACTTTCCAGCTTTTCACTACTAACCAGCTCACTAAGCGATGTAGGACCACTGATTTTTGTGAACAGCTTCATGGTGTCATATGCTATGCAGTATCGTGCCATCAATTTCCCAAGTTCTGAAAAGGAATGCAACATTAAAGTTTTAGTTTCAGAATTCAAAAGATTACATTCATGAGATTTTATATTTTTTTATGGTATTAAAGATATGTTGGAATGGTATTCCATTTTGACCAAAATTGCCTTGCATTCTAATGCATTTCCATTCAAATTAATATTAAAAGTGACATATTTTCAGACATCCTTGTAGCAGAGAGCGCAAGAGCTGATAATAATTAAAACAGTTACCTGTTGATGTTAGAACTAAATTATCATCTTCCATTGTTACAAGGTCAATTTCCTTCAGGGAGTTTATGTACTTACTGCACATATCTGAAACAAAATAAATATCAAAATAGATGTGTATGTGTCATAAAAAGAAGTTATTATGAGGATACCTCAAAGTACATGTATGCACGAAGATAGTATAGCTGGAGTATCGATCAACGTGCAGCAGAGATCGATGCGATGGTGTACTGTCTGAGTGCATACTTTGAGGTATCCTTGTAATAACCTTACTATTTTACATCTTTTCGATCCGAGGAACATCATGGGAATGCCGAAATCCAACATGTTTTGAACAGAATCATCGAACTTCTTTGTGTGGAGTCCGGTTAAACCCCGGTGGCAGCCATGTTTGTATTTATTATTATCATTCCATATTCGGAATTTGCATTTTCTAATGAGGAATGATGAAAATACCCCGTAAAATACCGCAAAATTACGGCACGCTGTAACTTATGGTGACAGATGTATATTAATATATAGTATGATAGATAGTAGACATATGGTATAAGATGCATTATAGTGATTTTTAGCATGCAAAAATGATGCAACAAGGGTTCATGCAGTTAATCTTAAAACTAGCTTAGAACATTTTGCCTGAAATGGAAACGAGTGTCATGGGACATTTCTAACTATTTGCTATATTTTGGGTGAAATGATTTTAACAACATTTTAAAAAAATACGAGCACGTTGCTGATTTCCAGTGATCCTCTGAATCACTGTGGAAGAATAAATTTTTGTATGTTGATTACCAGATAATGGAATAGGTGAGTTTCCTTACAATTGCGAGATCTCGCGAGATGCATGAAAGACGCGCGTCGAACGTCTGCCGCAAAAATCGAACGATTTGATTTTGAACTTGCTCCCGAATACCCTTACTTAATTGAAATTGCCTATCATCAAAAGTGGACAGCACATTAATAAGCATGGAAATGTCCCCCAAACTTGAAATAATTTCGCGTTTGTCGAATCCCATGCGATGTTTGACTCCACTACGATGTTATGACCTTTGTTTGTCCTGTTTTTACGTTCGATTTCACGCATAACGCGTAATTCTCGCAGTGAACGGAAAATGGTCTATTACTAGCAACTACCGGGTAAATTGACAATTTGTGTGTATTCTTTAACAATGTTTTAGAATCTGAGCAAATACTGGACTTTTACCTTTCAGCTTATTCTCCAGGGCTTCTTTACTTAATCCAGGAGGAATTCCATAATAGGTTGGATTTTTGACTACTCTGATGTAGAGGAAAGTAGATTTCAACCATTCCAACGCAATGTTCATATCAGTGATAGTATTGAGTACTATTTCAGCATTTAAGTGTTCCATTATGTGCAGATGGAGACTGTAAGCAAATAAGAAAACTATCATGACATCTTACCAAGATGCTGTGTGAAAACCTGAAATTATAGAATTCTAACCTTCACATATGACACACAGTTCAAGAGTGTTAACCTAGAAAATCATAATAATCATTATCAAATATGTCAAAATAAGTCATTGTACATAACACTACCATACATATACCAACGTCTATAAGAAACACATCTCTAATACAAGTCCACATAAACCCAAAATTGCATTTACCGGTATTATTATATGTTGATCATTAAAACATAACTTATTTTGAACAGACACACCTGTCAGTTACCCAGTAAGTGCTACTAAATATGGTATACCATACAATAATATGTAAATTGCTGATGTGTTCATTTTTCAATGAATCACTGTAAAACAAATCCAATTTTGCATGTGCCTCTATTGAAGATACTGATTGACCAGTTCAGATGTGAAAACATTCATATGCTTATATATAGAGATGGATATCCCAACATTCATACATATTCAAATATGTTATATATCAGTACTAGTCTAAACTAGTATAGCTTAAACAAAAACTTACAAAAATATAAATTAACAGTTATTAGAAGTAGAAAGTCACATGCAAACAACCAAGATTAAATTTATCAGAAGTGTTTTCACATGTACATCATGAAAATTACTGATGACCTCCCTCAGCAAACGCACATTCCTTCATTTTTATCTTGGAATGGCATTTAATCTGTACAAGTATTTTTTATTGTGTTATGAACTACATTACAATTCTCACCTGCTTTCTATATTTTGTGTTCCATTCAACAAAGCTTCATATTTTTTCTGTAATATTAATAATATTAAATTGTAAATAACCAAATTATTTGGAGATAAACACCTCATAACAATAACCGCAAAAGTCAACAAGAAAATTGTTGACAATGACAGCAAGAATCATTATCATTTGAAAATGTTAAATTAATTATCAAACTATAATGCCAATTCAATAATATGTGAATTCGGGGATTGAACTTTAGAGTTGGGCCCCCAAAATTTATAAAATAGCCTTAGCACATAGAAATGACATATCAACAGACTTAAGGCAACTCCTTGAGCATCAAGGCAATGAATGGCCTTTGATGTCTCTGTGAAGTTCAGTTACTGGTAAGCCCTGTGAATCTATGATCCACTTTGTCTTGTTTTACACATACAGTGAAGATACATGTGTATGTGACAACTCATAGAAAATTAAATTAATAGTATGATTATGAATATAATTTATAATCTGTGTTAATGCTCAATTATGACATGCATTGACCAAGCTGACATCCCCCTTTCATATTTTGACACCTCCCATGCCACATTGTACTTCATGCAATATTTGCTCACATTTCGTCCTTCAGTCGGATTTACATTAATTAACACCAGACTGTTCATTCGCTTATCCGTGCTCGCATCCTTTTCAAGCATCAGTTCATTTTGCCGCATCGTACGATACACATCGTCACATTCTGTAGGAGGATAATTATATTTAGTGAAGCATACCTTCGTATTAAATCTTGTCATTATGACTGCTGTAGCTGTTGTATCAAATTGGGGTCTTCCAGCTCTACCAATCATTTGAAGTACCTGAGTTTCACTGTATTCACAGTACATTCCTGTTACGTAATGTTGGGTGGATTTCACAACAACTAGGTGAGCGGGAAGATTCACTCCCATGGCAAGAGTACTTGTAGCCACTAGTCAGAAAATAAGAAAAGGGTTTTGATATCAGTACTATGAATACATACACATGAAATCAAAGAATCTATTTGTCCACAGTAAGCATGATTAATTTAATTTTACTATTTGATGAGAGCGAGTAAAACAAATGTTGAATATTTACTCCTAGGCCACAGGTGAGCTTATTTTTACCCCTTTTCCCCACTCTAAGTGGGCTAAATTTGTTCACATTTCCTGTAATTTTCACTGAATTCAATCTTAATTTTGATAAACAGACAAAATGTATCATTGAATATTGATTTACAAAAGGAATACACAAATGAAACAACTGAGATCGCCCACAAAATCACATGTTCATGACATAAATAATGAACCACAAAAACTGTACTTCCTACAGATATAACAAAATTTTAGTACTTACACAATACAGGTAAATCTCCCTTGGTAAACATACTCTCTATAGTTTTTCTATCAGATATATCCAGTCCTGCATGATGGTACCCAACCCCACATACAACCAAATCTACAGACACAGCAACGAGTTTAAAAACAATAACAAGATATATTTTTAAAATATTATAAAAAGTCTGTAATGAGTATTTAAATGTTAAATAAATCTTTGTGTTGTGTAAATATAATTGGCAAGTTCTTTAATTATGCTGGGATCTTTGCTTGAGAGTATATACCAGTATGTGAATTGTACATTTTTATTTTTGGATGATAGTGGTATCATAATTTTTTGTATGAAGTTTTCTGTGTGTGTGTGTTGTATTTTGGGCAATTCAATAGAAAATGTTCTCCTTATTCATAAGAGAACTGTAATCACAATTGTGTTTTTTTTCTCAAATACAGAACTAGTGTTAATACCGGTAATAATAATAAATGTGATAATGGAGAACAAAATCTAATATATAGCAAACATTTTTTATACACATCATAATGTAATTTTTACATAATTATATATTTAGTAAATTTTGAGAAAACATAAAATGAACTTCTTTACCTCTAAGTTTTGAATCTTTCAGCATATTGGAATACTTTTGAAGGCGCTGTCTGTGTTGAGAGTTCATGATAAATCTAGCATCTTTCACCAAGGTACTGGCAGCTTGTTGAACACCTTTTCTTGTTGCACAGAACTTAATAAATCAGAATATTATTTTTTAAACTCCATCAATACATATAATTTGTTGAATGATTATGATGATACTAACACATGTTAATTTTAAAGCAAACCCTTTATTTTAAATATAGAATTCCAAAATGTTGAAATTTTACATACACAACAAGGTACAATGTTTTTGTCTGATTCATGTTGTTCAATTAGATAACGCAGTTATAGCCCTCCACCACTATACAACATCTGATATATCTGAGCTCAATATAGTAGTGAGTTTTAGAGAGCTATATCAAAGGTACCAGCCAAGAAGTAAGTAAAGTCACGAATTGACACCCCTGTTGACACCTTGAGTCAGGCAGCTGTCACCCTTTGTATCTCAGTAATTGACGGACAGCAAGTATTAAGTTTTCTCTTCCAGCACTTCAATGGCAAATTAAATACAAGATGCAACAAACCATTAGTTCTTTTAAACTGCTGGCAAAACACAGCAGAATTTTTAGAAGCCATCCAACTACCTGTGACTTAGCCGAAATTGCAACTTATTAAAGCGCAACTTAGCAAGGGGGGTCACTGTAGTTTAATTCATCAATTTTAGTTAAAGTATTTTACTTAAAGTATTATTTGTTTTTCCTCTTTTGTTGTTCATAGTTATTTTTCTTAATGATTGTATTGTTTGTTTTTTTCTTGTTTCTTTCTTGTCATGTATTGATTTTCATTTATTCCAATGGATGTTAAGTGATTAAAGATTATTATTATTATGGATTGACCAAATTCCTCTTGTAGAAATTAAACTTCATCAAAATAAATCCATGCTGGGTATTTATCCTTTTAATACCATGTTAACCACCAACATTTTGGACATTGTTATAATTTCCTACTGATTACAAATTTTAATCAAAATTTAGTAAACATTGTGAATTTTATAATGTGTAAAATGACAAAAGATGACTTTGGCACTCAAAGGTATAAGCAGTGTGGAAATATTTTTTTTTTGCAAATTCAAATTCCTCATTGTGTGATTGAAGTGAAATCAAAACTGTATTTATTAGTATAATAGATATACCACTAAGATGATGATTGACCTTCTTCAACACCATTTCTGTACTTACCACAAGAGTTGGTTTCTGATCTGAGTATGTCTGAATGACTCCACTAAGTTTATAATTGAGAGACAAATCAAACTTAAATTCTGACTGGTTCTCATGACATGGAAATCCTAGAACAACTTTTCTCAGTCTGACAGGTCTGTGTGTATCATCCATTCTACATGTATGTAAAAAAAAGTGCAGAAAAATTTAGGCGTGAAAGTCTTGTGGTGAAAATATTAAATTTGTGTTGCATATTAGGAATGTTTAAAGATGATTTAGAATATTAAATTAAGAGATTACGACTGGTGGTGTCAATCTACGTGGTGTCGAGTAAAAATCAAAAATGTACTAAAATGTTGTCTGTTGACTTCAAAGTTAGGGTTCATTTCCAGAAATATCTAAGAATATAAGAAAAAAAAAGTGCAGAAACATTTGGCCAGAAAATTCTGGTGGTGAAAAGATTACA